TTAAGACCATTAAGGATGAGACTTTAGGAAAAGTTACCAATCTCAAAATAAATGATAATATCGTGTTCTACATCTCAAATAAAGTGGACTTTCATCAAATTATATAATTTCATTTCAAGAAATGCATCCGTTAGATAGTACATGGTGATATTTCATTGAAGAAATCTGAAGGATATAGAATCAACTCCAATTTCAATGAAATTGATATCATAATATGTAGACACTCTAATTAGCATATAATATCAATTTCATGAATATTGGCTCAGTAGATATTGAGTTGTCAACTCTATCACTATACTATAGAACTTTGACATAAAATCAAAGATTATGCTCTAAATCACTTATTTTATATGCAATTAGTCTAGAATTGATAATACACATTCAATACATCATTTATATACATCTATACACGTTTTGAAACAATTCATGATACTTTCATTCAGTCAATCAGTAAATATTTAATGTCAATAGTGCTTATATCCAAGTGTACACACTGTCTCAATGAAAGTATATCCAACCATCACGTAACTTTACCAGATACATTTAGTCACACTTATATACAACTGGTATCAATTTTAGTGTTTTAGAATTGAATTCAATATGATAATAATAACAATCTGTCAAATTGTCACATTTCAACATATAGAATATACTCCATCTCATTCATTTTTCAAAATGTCAAACAAGTATCAAATATGAATACACTCCTCTTGATGAGGAGAACAATCTGAGAAAGTTTTATATTCATGGCTCAATATCTTCAAGTCAACTAAGGAACATCTAAGGTAATCAATAGGGAAGAATCTTAATTTCAAAATTAAATTTTACCATCATATCAAAATCATTGAATAATGAATTAATTATACAAGAATAATACATTCAATTGTTATATTCATGTCAGTAATCAGTGAAGGTGACACTTCTTTAACCTTAGTATGCACATCTCAATATGTAGACAGTCAATTCCACTGAAACTTGATATACAACCTATTTAGATGATATAATGATGACTCTTCATAGTAACATGAATGTGAAATTGAATGTTGACACTTTTCATATTGTTATATTTATAGAGCTGGTATCCAACAGAGTCAGTTCACAATATTAAATATTGAAACTCATTCTATATGGTATATTTGATGTATAGAGTGGTTTTTTTATTGAATGTTATCAGTTTGAAATAATTTGATGAAATTGACACTGTCTAGTCACCGTTACATAACAAATAGACCATAGTTTACATTCCATCTCAGTCATTTCAACGAGTTATTGATTAATTCCACCACCATTATGTTTCTCATACATTGTAATACAGTTTATATTTCAAGTGTGATTTCTGTGTAGATTATTATAATCGTAAAACCATGAAATACCAATAAAACTCAATAGAAGAGTTAATTCTTCTCATTTTCAAATAGATTATTCAAAAAAGAACACATCTAGATAGTTGCCAGATCATGAAAGTCAAGATACTATATATGGTCTTTGGTCAAATTTAAAAATAGACTGCCGTTGATTACTGGAATCTTGATTCAAAGCTTGTTGATCAAGCTATTGATTCAAATCAAACCGATTATTGAATATTGGTCATTGAATTGGAGAATAATCACTCTCTTGATAATGCTACATATTGGAGAGATGCAAATCAACCTGATTCAATCTACAAAGGTTTGTACGTGGCGAAACTACCATTCCACGATGAATCAACATTAGATTCACTTCCATTCAACTCAATTTGACCGTTATAATCAATAAATCAATGAAATGTTACTTTATTAGCAATACCTATTCAATCTAATGAGTAGATTCACGTCCCAAACATTTGACTTCTAAAAGTCCATAATTCAAAAGTTAGTACTGACCTGACCTTTAAATATCTATCAATACAAGAAATGAAACCATCAAATTTACATCATTTATAGATGATAAGAAATATAATCAATGATATAAATCTTCACTAAGTAATCTCTTAAATAACCCAAATAAATCAACTCTGAATCCTAACAAGAGCCTGGATGATTGGATAATTTTTCG